TCTGAGGACCCAGACTCCTACGGGGAGAAACTGGACCGTCTGGCATTGGGTCAGAAAGTGAGGGTGGCTTTATCGCGGAGGTGCACGCAGGAATCACTGTTTATTGCACTGGGACGTGGGACCGTGGGTTACGGAAATGCAGAGATGCAGAGAAAGCTGACTGGCAGCCATCACTGTTTGCCACACCCTAGTGATTCCCTGAGACCCCGCCCTGTCCAATTTACAAACCCACCCGAGTGGCGTGCAGCGGGCTTTTGCATAAAATTTGCAGCTGGGTCAGACAGCTGTAAAACTTCCAAACCCCAAACAAAGAGGAGAAATGTTCATATCTTGCTGTAGTTCCTGCTGGGTGGTCTCAGACAGAGGCTGACTTGCACCTCGTTTATTTAGGAGCCAGTATACCCAGTGGTCAGTGTGAGACAACACCAGATTTCAACTCTTCACATCCATAAGCGACACACTCAAGAGGCAGACTCAATGAGTACCAAAGCTCCATTAAAGCAAGTCCTGCCCCATAAGAGTGCCTCCAGCACAGCAGTTCTTCCATTATAGACACAGCTGATCTTCACAGCCAATTGGCCTGGAGATCAATTCCTCCCAGTGTACTAATGGCAATCAAGGCTCAACTACAATAAGACTGTGCATACAGTCTACAAAGAGGTGCACCAAGATTGTCCACCTCAGGTAATTGGGGAGGCTGAACCAATGGGCCCAATAGGTCACCTACCACACAGAGCCACTCCATCAACACAGGGAATCAGCCAAAATGTGGAGACAAAGAAACATGTCACGAATGAAATAAATGGAAGAAAGCAAACTACTGGATATAGAATTCAAAACCACAGTTAAAAGGTTACTTAAGAATCTTCTAGAAACTGCCTAGAAATTTAGTGAGACCTCTGACGAACATAGTGAGACCTTCAAGGATCTTAATGAGAATGCCAGAAAGAAAGAAAGAAAGAAAGAAAGAAAGAAAGAAAGAAAGAAAGAAAGAAAGAAAGAAAGAAAGAAAGAAAGACAGACCACTCATAAATTAAACATACTGTATTTTCCAGCATATAAGGCGACCCCCTAATTTTACAGTTAAAACATAGGTTTAGGCCTATATTCGCTGTATAAGACTACTCCCCACTTCCGAGGCAACACCAGTTCTTTTTTTAATAGACCGCCTCTCTGACTCTGGCCAATCTGAGCAGGCCTTTTACTAGAACACAGTCTACACTGGGGGGGGGGGGGGTAGGAGGGGTCATCTTATACGCCGGAAAATACGGTACACTGTCTGAAATAAAGAATAACATATAGAAATACAACAGTATACTAGAGGACCCCAAGAATCAAACCAAAGATTTGAAACAGGAAGCAAAAAATAACCAATCAGAAAAACAGAAAAAAGAATTTAAAAAATATGAAGATATTATAGTATAAGGAGCCTCTGGGACAGCTTCAAGCATACCAACATCCAGATTATGGGGGTGCCAGAAGAAGAGAGAGAGAAAGATACTGAAAACCTATTTGAAGAAATAATGACAGAAAACTTCCCCCCACCTGGTGAAAGAAATAGACTTACAAGTCCAGGAAGCGAACAGAACCCCAAACAAAGAAACCCAAAGAGGATCATCACACCAAGACACATCATAATTAAAATGCCAAGGACAAAAGACAAAGAGAATCTTGAAAGCAGCAAGAGAAAAACAGTTAGTAACCTATAAGGAAGCATCCATACTACTGTCAGCAGATTTCTCAACAGAAACTATGCAGGCCAGAAGAGAGTGACAAGAAATATTCAAAATAATGAACAGCAAAAACATACAACCAAGATTACTCTACCCAGCAAAGTTATCATTCAGAACTGAAGGTCAGATAAAGAGCTTCACAGACAAGAAGAAGCTAAAGGAGTTCATCACCACCAAACTGGTATTATATGAAATGCTGAAAGATATTCTTTAAGAAGAGGATGAAGAGCCGAAACTGGTTTGGCTCAGTGGATAGAGCGTTGGCCTGCGGACTGAAATGTCCCAGGTTCGATTCTGGTCAAGGGCATGTACCTTGGTTGCAGAAAGATTTCCAGTAGGGGGTGTGCAAGAGGCAGCTGATTGGTGATTCTTTCTCATCGATGTTTCTAACTCTCTATCCCTCTCTCTTTCTCTCTGTAAAATATCAATAAAATATATTTTTTTAAAAAGAGGATGAAGAAGAAAAAGGTAAAAATAAAAATTATGAACGACAAATACATATCTATCAATAAGTGAATCTAAAAATCAAGTGAATAAAAATCTGATGAACAAAATAAACTGGTGAATATAATAGAATTAGGGGCATAGAAAGGTAGTGGAATGACCATTTTCGGGGGTAAAGGGGCATGAGGGGTGCAAGAAGAGATTGGACAAAAATTGTACACTTATGGATGAGGACAGTGCGGGGGTAAGGGCATGGGGGGCACAGATCAAATGGAGGGGAGCTAAGGGGGGAAAAGGAACAATTGTAATAATCTGAACAATAAAGATTTATTTAAAAAATAGAATATTATGCAGATGACAAAGAAAATGAAACAGCACAATAAGTCTTGATATCAATGTAAATAATGTTTTTCAAAAAGCAAGATTATTGAGCTCTATACTTAAGATTTATTAGATTTATAGTGTACTCATAAACACAAGACTCAGAAAATGTGTACTGTATGCTATCATTGTATAAAAAACAGTAATCCTATATAATAAAGAGGTGATATGCAAATTGACCCTCACACCCTCACATCATCACAAGATGTCACCCCCATGTCATCACAAGATGGCCAGCAGGGGATGGCAGTTGGGGGTGATTGGGTTAGCAGGAGAGCAGTTAAGTGTCGATCAGGTCGGCAGGGGTGCAGTTAAGGAGTGATCAGGCTGGCAGGCAGAAATGGTTAGGGGCAATCAGGCAGGCTAGTGGTTTAGAGCAGGAAGACCCAGATTATGAGAAGGATTGGGCCCAAACTGGCAGTCGGACATCCCCTGAGGGGTCCCAGATTGGAGAGGGTGCAGGCTGGGCTGAGGGGGACCCCCCACCCCCACCATGCACAAATTTCGTGCGCTGAACTTCTAGTATAAGGCTTTTATGTATGTCTGATAGGCCTGCCCTGTGGTTATAGCAGCTCTTTCCCACTTCTACCCAAACTGTGCATAGTTGGGATCTAGAGGGTACTTACTTTTGAACAGAATTAAAATTCAGCTTTTTAAACTTTTAAAATTTCCATCTTCAGTGATATCCCAAGGACTATGAAAGATGCTAAAAATGTAGACTTCTTCCAAAGGGATTATCTTGGTCATGCCACATTAATTGTTTCTCTATCTATACTTTCCATCCTACAAGGAATGGCCTTGTCTGCATATTGACTATTTCTGGAAACTTATACAACATAGGATAACAGTGGTTGCTAGTAGGCAGGATGATTGGGGGTTGGGGGAGGGAATTTCTCATCATATATCTTTTTATGCAGTAACATTTGCATTTATTACTTACTTAAAAAGTAAAATTGAAAAAGAAAAACCAGCCGAGGCCAGTTTGGCTCAGTGGATAGAGCATCGGCCTATGGATTGGGAGGTCCCAGGTTTGATTCCGGTCAAGGGCATGTGCCTTGATTGTGGGCACATCTCAGTGGGGGGTGTGCAGGAGGCAGCTGATTGATGTTTCTAATTCTCTGACTCTCTCCCTTCCTCTCTCTAAAAAATCAAGAAAATATATTTAAAAAAAGAAAAACCACTGAGGAGGAATATTCTTAGAGCTAAATATTCACATATAATCATGAAAGTTCTTTAAATGTCTTTTATTCATTTTTTAAAAAATATTTTATTGAATTTTTATAAAGAGGAAGGAAGAGGGATAGAGAGCTAGAAACATTGATGAAAGAGAAACATCGATTAGCTGCCTTCTGCACACCCCCTACTGGGGATGTGCCCGCAACCAAGATACATGCCCTTGACCAGAATCGAACCTGGGGCCTTTCAGTTCACAGGCTGACACTCTATCCATTGAGCCAAACCGGTTTTGGCTCTTTAAATTCTTCTCAAGTAATGGTTATCATAATCTGAAATTATCTTGGTTGTATTTGTTACTTATGAATTTCTTTTTAAAATATATATATTTTATTGATTTTTTTTTATGGAGAGGGATAGAGAGTTAGAAAGATCAATCAGCTGCCTCCTGCACACCCCCTACTGGGGATGTGCCCGCAACCAAGGTACATGCTCTTGACCAGAATCAAACCTGGGACCCTTGAGTCTGCAGGCTGACGCTCTATCCACTGAGCCAAACTGGTGAGGGCTACTTGTGTATTTCTTCCACTATCATTGGAATATAAGCTCCATGTTGTCAGGGATCTTGCTTCTCTTGTTCATCAGTGCCTTATTTCTATATATGTATATAGTACATAGTAGTTATTGAATAAGCGAACAAATGAAGCAATATCAAAGAAAACCTGGTGAAGCCCAAGGAGGACTGGGAGGCGAGGCTGAGGAAATCAGATGACAGAAACCGGTGATTCTCAAACTTTAAATTTATATCACAGTCACCTAGTGATTCTTTATAACAGCTTGTAATGAAGAAGTAGATTATTGAATCCAGTGATTCTGATTCATTAGGTTTCAGTAGGGGCTCAGGAATCTACATTTTAACACGTTTCCCTAGGTGACTTGGGTGCAAGTGATCTGGAGACCCCACTTTACATCTGTGATATAATTTCTCATTAATACATCCCTAGAGTAGAAGATAAAGGACCATCATCCCATTTTATCAAATGAGGCTGAGAGATTAACAATACATTTTTCAAATGACACAGTTTGTGTATAAAGTATACTTTGAAAGGGCAAAGTAGCTGACCAGTCAATTCAAGGTAAAATTGTAGATGGCTCACCCTCATAGGACATTCACAGGCTAGGTGTTACTGAATGAGTTTAATGTTTCTATTCTTTGTTTGCGAAAGAGAATATACTCCCTAATGACAGATACTTTCTGATTTATCTCAGGGAGGGCAATGAGCCAGAGGAGACTACCCAAATCACATATCATGAACTTCTGGTCCAAGTGTGTCAGTTCAGCAATGTTCTCCGAAAACAGGGTGAGTGGGAAGGTGAGGGGAAGGGAGTAGAGGGCTTGGCCTTGGGGTATTTGAGGACTTTGGGGGAAGTAGATAAAGGGATGGGAGGAATCTGGTAATGGGAATAGAAGAAGTCATCTGGGGGGGTGGTGGTAGTGGTGGCTGGATGAGAGGGAGTGAGTAGCAGCAAGAAAGGTCCATGGTCCATGGTCTTTGTCCTTTTCCTGCAGGCATTCAGAAGGGTGACCGAGTGGCCATCTACATGCCCATGATACCAAAGCTTGTGGTAGCAATGCTGGCATGTGCTCGCATTGGAGCTCTCCACTCCATTGTGGTAGGAATTTGTGCTGGAAAGGGGCTTGGTTGGGGATGGGCTCTGTAGGTTGGGCCTGGATGATGGAGGATCTTAAGAACCAGACTAAGGAGTTTAAAATGTTTTTGTTATAGTTTCCATATCAGTTATACAATTTCTTCTAGGATCCTGACTTAGGACTCTAAAGTTTTGTTTTTTTAAAATTTTTTTTAAAAATTATTATCTGTGTACATATTTTAACATTGGGTCCCTCCCCCCCCATACATAACCTCCCTCCCCAGAGTTTTGTGTCAGGACTCTAGAGTTTTTATGAATGATTCCTTTCCTTGTTCACTTATCCCTGGGTCCCCCTCTCCCTCAGTCTTTCTTCCCTTCCCTAGTTTGCAGGCTTTTCTGCAGAGTCTCTATGTGAGCGGATCCTGGATTCCAGTTGCAGCCTTCTCATCACTGCAGGTGACTAATTTTCACCCCTTTTCCAGAAGCCCTATACCCCAAGTCATTGTTCTAATCAGCTAGTTGAGTTTTGGACTGCTCAACGTAGAGCAAGCATGTCAAATTCAAAGGCTCACACGGGCCACATAAACAAGATTTAAGTTTGTGTGGGCCCCCCAAAAATAAAAGCTTCAATTTTCATAGAAACGTAGGTTTATTTTGATAGAGACATGCTGAATACAAAGGGATGAAATGAGTCACCGTTAACATGAAATAATAAAACATTTAAATAAAAAATAATACTTTTTCTTGAACATTAACTTACATATCAGACACTGAATAACAGCACAAATTAATAAGAGTAATGCAAATAAACCTATTTTTCTGTCCTCTGAAAGCAAAATATTTCCTGTTGTGCACACCAAACAAGTCAGTCAAAGACTAATTATGTGGCAATCAGCTGCTATAATATTTGCTGCTCGTGTTAGTAGAGAGAAATGGTGTGTCTGCGTGTAAGGCATGTAAGGGAAGTGAATACAGCATGATTATATTAATAGTAACCAGTCATTAGTGAACATTATAGTTTGTTATTAATAATTATGTATAACTGGATATTATAAAAATTAAGTTATGAAATTTTTATTAAAATGTTTCTTACATACAAAAACATTATATTGTTTGGGTCGCAAAAGTATTCATTGTGGGCCACATGCAGCCTGTGGGCCGCGAGTTTTACGTGATTGATGTGGATGGGAGGGACTGCCTACTCTTTAGCTCTTGGTTCTACCTCAGCCAACCCTCTGTCAGCTCAAATCAGCTGGAAGAGCCAGAGTTAAAAGGCCACTCAGGAAGGACTCTGTGAACATTGTGCTCACTATGGGTAAGGGGTGAGCAGTATGGTGCCTTCCTAAGGCCTGGAATGTCTGTTGCTCCCCAAAGATGCCTTCTACAGAGGGGAAAAACTTGTGAAACTGAAGGATCTAGCTGACGAGGCCCTGGAGAAGTGTCGGGAGAAGTAAGTGTGTTTGGCCAGTTGGCTGTTACTTTGGGTCAATTTGGATTTCCCCACTGCTATGTTTCCTTTGTCTCTCCTACCCTGATGGACATGGGTGGGCCCTACCAAATTCTCTTTGAGCCTACCATCCTACCACTCAGGCTTTTCTTTTCTCCAGGGGTTTCCCTGTGAGATGCTGCATTGTGGTCAAGCACCTGAGGAGGTCAGAGCTGGGAACAGGTGACTCTCTCAGTCAGCCCCCACCAATTAAGAGGCCATGTCCAGATGTGCAGGTGAGTTTGATATTGCTATGCCCTCTCATGGACTCCAATGGCTCTCTTTTCCTGCCCATGAAGTTCTTGATGTCCTCCTTTGCTTCCTCATTATAATGCTTGCATCTGAGAGCCATCCTAGAAATGCATCCTTGGCAGGGCTAGTTGGGAGCCAAGAACTTTGAACTTGAAAGTAGTTAGGGAGCCCTTTGCAATTTGGGACCTTAGCATGAGATATTGTGAGGGAGACTTCCATGCTGGATGGCATGAGGGATCCTCGGGGCTTGGACTTTGGTTAGAAATGGGCTGACTTGGGTGACCAAATATAATTATCGTGATTACTAGTCTGTGGCTTGGGTTGGGTTCCTGTGGAGTCCCACTACGGAAGGATCAAGATCAGGCTCTCAAGATATGGCTCTTATTAGAAGAGGAGGCAGTCCTCTGAAAGCCTCTTCTCTCACTTCACTATACCCTGCTCACTATGCTTTCCATGGGCTCTTAACAGGGTAAGCTGAACGAAAGACCCAAGTGCATCTGGCCCCAGGTATCCACCTATGCACTGCCTTGGGCACTGCTTTCCTGCGTGCTTGTCTGTATGTCGAATGCTTTTTGCCTGTTTGCCCCATTGAGGTGTCTGCCAGACCTAACCCTTTTCTCATATCCCTGGGTCCTTTGATATTTAAGTCACCTGGAAGTGTTGTAAAACCAAATGTCTGTTGCTACCTCTCTGAACTGACATAGAGCATGGATCTCAGGAAAGTAACAACAGACAACTCATTTTTTTCTGCTGCTCTGGACTTTTGTGGGAGAAAGGACCAAGTAACCTGTCAGAAAGTTTATACTGTGCATTTAGTTGGGGCGGAGCCAGAAAGAAACAGGAGGAGAAGTAGGTAGAGGAGGTATAGATCTTAACCTTGGGACTTCACCATCAATCTGGAAATTTGATATGTATTACAAATAAAAGCCTAAGTTTTTTATAGAACAGCAGAGAATATTCCTAAATTTGTTTATATACTACTTTGGGATTTACAAATTGCACATATATCCTGATTTAATTAAGTACTAAGTTGAACAAAAGTTACATTGTAGGTAGTTCTATGAAGGGAAATCCCTAAGTAGGGAGTCAAAGCAGATTAGTATAGAGGAGAGAGAGTGGGTTTGAGTCAAGAGACCAATTTTTAGCGGTATGACCTTGAATAAGTTGCCTCTGCTCTCTGGGGTTCAGTTTGCTCATAAGGAATGGAAAGATGATAGTACATGCTTAAAAGGAAACAACTTTCCTTAATAAAACAAAGGAGAAAACCCACAATTCTTCTGAGTTTTACCATCCTCATAGGGTATCTTTCTCTAAATCTTCTATGATTATAACTTCTTAGGCTAATGGTAAAGATAATCCCCCTTTATTATTATTTTTTTTAATATATTTTATTGATTTTGTATAGAGAGGAAGGGAGAGAGATAGAGAGTTAGAAACATCGATGAGAGAGAGTCATCGATCAGCTGCCTCTTGCACACTCCCTACTGGGGATATGCCCGCAACCAAGGTACATGCCCTTGACCGGAATCGAACCCGGGACCTTTTAGTCTCCAAGCCGACGCTCTATCCATTGAGCCAAACCGGTCCCGGCTCCCCCTTTATTCTTATTAGCATGGTAGAGACCCATCAGGCAGAGCCCTGCCAGTGTGGCTCAGAGGTTGAACATCTTCCTTTGAACCAGGAGATCCTGGTTCACTTTCTGTTCAGGATACATCACATGCCTGGGCACCTAGAAGGGGTCATGTAGGAGGCAGCCCATCAATAATTCTCTCTCATCACTGATGTTTCTGTCTCCTTCTCCCTTCCTTTCTGAAATAAATTAAAACAAACTAACAAACACCACACACACACAAAATAACACTCAGGCAGAGACCTACTGTAAGACTTTTTCTCTTGAAGAAAGTGACATACTTGGTGATTAGAGTATAGGCTTTGGAGACAGACTACTTGGGTTCAAATCTTGGTTCTATCACCTGTTATGGGAGGTTGGGCAAGTTATATAAGCTCTCTTGCCTCAGTTTCCCCATCAGTAAAGGTATTCAGGACATAGTAACTACTTTGTAAATGTTAGCTTTTATTGCTTTGAAAATAAATACACTGGCATTTCTAAGAGGGAAACCAGAAAAGAGATAAACTCTTATAATTTTTAATACCAGAGACCTTCAGGCCACAGACTCCTGGATTTTTGTTTCTTGGAGGTGAACACAACCAGAAGACCATAAAAATGGGCTTACAAAGTCCAGGTTTGTTGGCCTGAGAACTGCAAAACTGCAGAATTCTTGGCCGAGCTCCAACCCCCTTCAAGGGAGGGCCTGCACAATTTGTATGTGCCCTCCTCAACTGTGTCACCTTCAAGCTTCCTCATGTTTCTCTCACACCTGGCAGCTTCCCTCCCTGAAACTACCCTGGTCCAAGTTCAAAGGCCAACTAACTCCTCAATTTGTATTGCAGAAAATTCAAACTTTTTCCTGGTTCAAAGCTCTGGGCCCCTTATAGGCACACACCTAAAACAGAGTCTATGTTTTAGGTGTGTGCCTATGGCAACTATCTTCAATGTCTGCAGCACTAATTGAACTCACCCTACATCCTGGTGCAGATTATCAGCTCCACATTTGAAGCATGCCTCCCTCACCTTCTTACTCACATATTCACAAAGGAAATAGTTTTATAAGATTATAAGTCCTCTCATTGCCACAGACAAACCCTTACATGTACATAGCCTTTTTTTCTGACAATTCACACCAGTGTTGTAGACCAGTACCATTTGCCAAAGCACTATTGACATACTTCTGCTTAAATACATTAATGACCTCATCTAAAGTAGATTGTTTGCAAAAAAAAAAAATGTTCATGTGACAAGGTACGTGTAGACCCGTATTGCTATTCCACTAAAACATAGAGTATGTTGCCCTAGCCCAGTGGTCGGCAAATGTGGCTCGCAATCCACATGTGGTTTGCCACTCTGTTGACTTATGAGTTTGCCGACTACTGCCTTAGGGAAAAACACTTAAAAAACATTTTAATAATATACTAATGTCTTCAACCTGAAGCCAAAACTTCTGGGTAAGGCTATTCCTTACCAGTTTGACTCAGTGGATAGAGTGTTGGCCTGCAGGCCAAAAGGTCCTGGGTTTAATTCTGGTCAAGGGTATGTACCTTAGTTGCAGGTTCCTCTCTAGCCTGGGCCCTACGTAGAGCTTGTGCAGGAGGCAGCCAGTCGATGTGTCTCTCTCACATTAATGTGTCTCTCTGTCTTTCTCTTTCTCTCTTCCCACCCTCCCTAAAAATCAATGGAAAACTCTCCTCAGACGAGGATTAACAAAAATAAAAAAATAGGGTGTGTTTTTTAGCTCATTGGTAGCTTTTCTCTCCTCTTTTTCTTCTTAAAATTTTAATGGTGCCTCACTTGGCCTGAACTTGTCATCCTTATGATACTTATGTGCCAGAAACTTCAATTTCTATAAACTAAGGGGCATAGTAAGGGGAGTGGTTGGAGATTCATTTTATAATTCATCAAAGTATGTCTAACACTTTGGGGTTTTTTAAACAAAACTAGAGGCTCGATGCGCAAAATTTGTGCAAGGGGCTTGGACCTCACAGCCCCTTGCAGCCCTGGCTTTGACCAGATAGTCGTTCTGCTGTTCGGTCTAATTAGCATATTAGCTCTTTATTATATAGGATATGCACACCACATATTATCATATAAACATACAACTGGAGTAAGGTGTTTCTCTTACAATATTATGTCTACCTGCCAGCCAGGGCCATTGAACATACTAGAGGCTAATGAATATGAAAAGGCTTTGTGACAACTAAAGCAAACCCTAAACAGTTCCCATCACCATACCCTTAAATTCATCTTCCAGAGGAGGTCAGTGGAACTGAACTAACTTCTGTTTTTCCTGATATTTGTCAGTCTTCCCCACCCCCTAGGATAAACCAAGGGTTGATGTTTACTAGGTAATACCTTTCTCTCTTGATGTTCCCCACATCATGAGAGACCATTGGGGCAAGAATGACTATCTTCATTTTATTTTTATTTTTATTTATTCTCACCCAAGGATATTTTCCATTGACTTTTTAGAGAGTGGAAGGGAGGGGGAGAGACAAAGAAATATCAATGTGAGAGAAATAGATCAATTGGTCACTTCCTGCATGCACCCCAGGGCCTGGGATTGAGCCTGCAACTGAGGTACATACCCTTGATTGGAAATGAACCCAGGACATTCAGTCTGAGCTCTATCTATTGAGCCAAATCAGCTAGGGCAACTATCTTCACTTTAAAAAGGAGTGACAAGGTAAAGTGACTTGTCTAAGGTCATATATAGCTAGAAGTGGCAGAACTGGAATTGAAATCCAATGCAATTTTTGGACAAATTCAGGGAATCCAACTTCTCTCAGCAAAGAACAGGTCAGAAAACTAGTTGTTCAAATAAGTGATATAATCAGGAAAGTAAAGCAGTTTCAAGCGGAGTTTAGAAAAATTTAAGGATGACAGATCCAGAAATAGTTCTCAAAGGCACTCCAGTATAGGAGGACATCCCTCTATTAGAAGTCCACCTTGGTCCTTCTCCACCAACTTAAAGCAAGGCTTCTTGATGAATGGAATCTCAAACAAATGTCTTTATGGAAAACTGTTGGTTTTGATATAAAGCAGTGATATAAAGGTAGGGGCAGAGCAAAGTTCTCCAGGTGGAGAACGAAGTCTGGACATGCAGGAAAAGATACTTGGACCAAGATCTATTGACCTCTTTCACTACTAACTAACAGAACCAGATGCCTGCCTCATCTGTAGGCTCTCACTAATTTTGCATTTCTAAATTGTGTGGTGTTTGCATCCCTGCCGATGAAATACTATTCCCATAAGTACATATGTGTGTATGCAGGTCTGTGTGTGCATATTCATCCAACAAAAATTTATTTAATGCCTTTTGAGAACCAGGCATTTTGCTAGGTGTTGGGGACATGGGAAAAAAAGCAGACATGTCACTGCATTCATAGAGGTCACTACTGTAATCAAGCAAACAACTAAATAAAATAACTAGAAATATGTGCTGTGTGGAAAAGAAATATGGTTCTGTGATAAAGAATACTGGCAGGGAATGATGATAGAAGTGGAAATCTATCAGATACTGTTCAGGAAAAGCCTGTCTCTGCTCCATTCCACCCTCAAGAGCCCTTCTTCCTTCCCAGCACCCCACCTGCCAGTCCCACTCTGGCTTTTTCAGGTGCATTTATCTCCTGTCCCCATTTGACGCTGTTCACAGTTCTTTCTGGTTCTTTCCTGTCTGCCTTCTACAGCTCTCCTGGAATGAGGGGGTTGACTTCTGGTGGCATGAACTCATACACGAGGCAGAGGATGTGTGTGAGCCTGAGTGGTGTGATGCCGAGGACCCGCTCTTCATCCTGTACACCAGTGGCTCCACAGGCAAACCCAAGGCAAGTGTGTGTGTGTGTGTGTGTGTGTGTGTGTGTGTGTGTGTGTGATGTAATGACATGGATTTTACTCTACAACCCTCAGTTTCAGAAATGTCACATTATCTTTTTTCAAGAATATATTTTTATTGATTTCAGAGAGGAAGGGATATATATAGCAATGGTGAGAGAGAATCATTGATTGGCTGCCTCCTGCATGCCCCACATTGGGGATTATGCCTACAACCTGGGCATGTGCCCTGACCAAGAATCGAACTGTGACCTCCTCATTCATAGGTCGATGCTCAACCACTGAGCCACGCCGGCCGGGCTCACATTACCTTTTCTAAATCAAATTAAGACACTAAATTGTGAGGCCTAGGGTGAGATAATTCGAGTGGGGGCTTTCATAATGCCAAGAAGAGGAGAAAAGGATGAGTCCATGTGATTTACATTGATGTTTCTTGCCCATGCCTACATGGTTTTGTTGAAGGAGAGATACCTCTTCTACTCAAGGTCACAGGTGGGTACAGGGATCCCTCTTGGGCTCCTAGATTACAGCTCTTAGAGTTCAGTTTCTTCAACTTTAACATCTAGTTCCTCCCAGAGCACAGTAAGAGACAAAAAATACTTAAAACTCTGTTCCATTGACTTGAAAGATATATTACTCTGCCTTCCACCTATCCCATCCCTAAATTCTTTTCTCCATATTCTTTGGAATATCCCTTAATGGGCCTTTAGAAACACAGTTTTAGCCTCTCTTTCCTAGGGATGGGATATTGATTGAGAGAATAATATTGTTTCTTCCCCACCCTCCCCACTTTCATTTTGTCAATGGGTAAATTGAGTGTGTGTGTACAAATGCATAACAGAGACACTATTGTGTACCCAAAGTGTTCATGTGTCAGAGTGATGTGGGTTGCTCAGAAATACCATCTTAGGGTGTGGGTGTGAATGATGGACTGACTGTACATGTATGTGAGGTGTGATATGGGAACATGGAGAAAAGGGGATGGAAGAGATGGATGTTGTGAAAGGGGTGCTGGCAGAGCCAAAATCTTTGAGGAGAATATTCCTCTAGCTCTGCCCAGCCTATATTTGGTGGTCAGTGGGGGTGAACCCACGCCCCATCCTGAGGCCCTATTCTCCCCCCAGGGTGTAGTACACACAGTTGGAGGCTATATGCTCTATGTGGCCACAACCTTCAAGTACGTGTTTGACTTCCATGCAGAGGATGTGTTCTGGTGCACAGCAGACATTGGCTGGATCACTGGCCATTCCTATGTCACCTATGGACCAATGGCTAACGGTGCCACCAGTGTTTTGGTGAGAGGGGAGCTGGGACCCATGGCTACTTGGCCTACTTGGGGGTGGACAAGATGATCCTGGGTAACTGCCTCCAATGGCTACTTGGTCTAGAGGAAGAGGACTTAGAGAGCTCTTACTCAGTTCTGTGGGGATTATGAATCATAAGTGGGAAGTTCTCTTGGCTTATCTGATAAAAGAGTGAAGGCACATGTTTGTCAGAAAGGGCAAACTACTGAGTCTGAGGTATGGTACTTGGGTGGGGGGACTATTGGGAAGGATCAGGAATGACCAGTATTCACTGGGGTTAGTTTGAGGGGATCCCCACGTACCCGGACGTGAGCCGCATGTGGAGTATTGTGGACAAGTACAAGGTGACCAAGTTTTACACAGCACCTACAGCTATCCGCCTGCTCATGAAGTTTGGAGACAAGCCTGTCACCAAGTGAGACCCCTCCCCAGCTGCTGCCCCATGGGTATCCCTCAGAGTTGGGTACTGGCCTTTGTACATAGTCTTTTCCTTGCCACTGTTCCAGCTCTCTGATCTGGAATGGGGGTTGGGTGGGGGGAGGACAGAAGAACATGGGCATGTCTTCCTGATTCCCAGTGGTACTTAGAGCCTAACTCTCTCCCCACTTCCTGCCCAAGGCATAGCCGGGCATCCTTACAGGTATTAGGCACAGTAGGAGAACCCATTAACCCTGAGGCCTGGTTGTGGTACTACCAGGTAGTAGGCGCCCAACGCTGCCCTATTGTGGACACCTTCTGGCAGACAGAGACAGTGAGTAAAGGGTCCAGAAGGTTGGGGCTCAGGGATAACATGGGAAGACTTTCTTAAACCCCTGATCTCTTGACTTCTACAGGGTGGCCATATGCTGACCCCTCTCCCTGGTGCAACACCCATGAAGCCTGGTTCTGCTGTGAGTGAGGCTCCTTTGCTGTCCTGGGCTAGACAGGGGTAGAATTTTGGGGCATTTGGCCTAGGTAGAGGGTGGAGGGTTGGACTGAGATGTGTGATGAGTTTGGAGCTCTGCCTCTCCCCAGGAGGTAGAGTTGAGTAACAGTTGCTTCATTTCTTTCCTTGGGTGCTGTCTTCTGTTTGCTTCCAGTCCTTCCCATTTTTTGGCGTAGCTCCTGCAATCCTGAATGAGTCTGGGGAAGAGTTGGAAGGTGAAGCGGAAGGCTATCTGGTGAGACCCTGGCCCTTTGTGGTCTCTGAGGAGGAGTTGGGGAAAAGGGTCCACCAAGGGATATTTTACTTTGCTTCAAATTTAGAACCTAATCTCTCCTGGTAGCTGTTGTAATTAAAGTTCCATACTTGAAGGTTTATCCTTTGTAGAGACCGTGCAGGGAATTATTCTGGATACTTTTCCTGTCTCTCTGCCTTTTGGCCCATGAGACTCTTAAGGGCTCTGTTCAGATTCCTAATGGTGCCTTTTTGGGCAGCATTTGAATCCCACCTTTTTGCCTCTTAGCCATCATCTCATTCATCTGCTGCCACAGGATGTTATTGATTGGGGCAACTATTTACTCATATGTGGGTCCCACATTTTTATACAACTGTTTTCATTAACGTCAAACTGAACCTGTTTTTCCTGAGGGATTACCCAAAAGAACATCAAATTTATTAAGTGCTTATTATAAATGGAACATTGTGCTAAGCATATATTACCTGATATCAATTTAATCTTTAGATTATTTTCTCTGATTTGCAGATGAGGATCCTGAAGCTCAGATAGGTAAAATTACTTACCCAAGGTCACACAGCTAGTAGGTGGCATAGTTGGGATTCCAAGCCTGGATTATCTATCTCTAAAGCCTGTACTTTGTACTACATCTCTGGAATGGCATTCAGACCACTTCTCCTTAGATTTGGCAAAGCTTTGATTGTCTTTCAGTGAGACAGTGTAACAGATGTGATTGCTGAGTCTTCCTCTCTCCCCAGGTGTTCAAGCAGCCCTGGCCAGGGATCATGCGCACCGTCTGGGGGAATCATGAGCGCTTTGAGACTACCTACTTCAGGAAGTTCCCTGGGTACTACGTGACAGGGGATGGTGAGCCTTGGCTTCTCCCTACCTCTTCCTGTCAAGACACGTACCTTTCCCTTTCATTTTTAAGAAGAATTGGCAAAGGGTGAAGAAACAGAGGGAGAGAAATGTGTCCTATGTGTCAGTGTCTAATATTGAGGCAGAGCTACAGAGCCTGTAAGAGTACTGCAGGATGGTCTCAGCATGGTGCCATCTGAGATTTGATGTATGAGGAAGGATTATTTTTTTTAAATATATTTTATTGATATTTTACAGAGAGGAAGAGAGAGGATAGAGAGTTAGAAACATCAATGAGAGAGAAACATCGATCAGCTGCCTCCTGCACACCCCCTACCGGGGATGTGCCCGCAACCAAGGTACATGCCCTTGACCGGAATCGAACCTGGGACCTCTCAGTCCGCAGGCTGACACTCTATCCACTGAGCCAAACCGGTTTCGGCATGAGGAAAGATTCTTGTTGTCATTGTTCCTGTGTTGAGAAATGGGGCATGTGGCAGTATTACAATGTCATGTGTGTCCCAATATCTGGAGGCTATGTTTGCCCATGAGTCCATCCACCCACAAATATTTATTAAGCATTTACTATGTCCAGGCACTGATCTAAGCACAGAGGATATTACCATGAATAAGGTAGGCAAGTTCTCTGCTCTCATGGGGCTTACTTCCTATTAAAGGGATACAGACAGTAAACTTAGCAAACAAGTCAGCTTATTTTAGTGATAAGTGCTATGAAGGAAAAGAACTCTAAACAGAATAACGGGATAAAGAGTGTCAGCTGGGAAATCTGGAGTAAGTGCAAGTGTTCTGTGCAGACATGTGCTTGAAACATCTGAGGAATAGACTGAAGCTTGTGTGGCCAGAGTATAGTGAGCGAAGAGAAGAATGTTATATGTAGTTGGAGCGTTAGATAATATAGGGCCTTTTGGGCCATGGTGAGGAGTTTTATTTTTATTTATTTATTTATTTATTTATTTATTTATTTATTTATTTATTTATTTATTGGTGGAGGGCAGTTTATTCCACGTCATGCAGACACCGACCCACACGCTCAGGCGGTTAAGAATAATACATTGAACCATATGCATCTCCCCCCACGTCCCTGGAGACACAGAAGACACTTGCTGAGTGGGTGGGTCCGAGGGTCCAAAAGCATCCACCCTGGGACCAGGCAGCGGGTGGCCCCGGTTTGATGTGGGTCCAGGTGGAGGGGCAGGGCCTTTCTCCCCAAGAAAAGTGCAGACAGGGCCGAGGCCCAGGCAAGAGGCCCCCCTCGCAGCGACGGGCACCAGGCAGGCCGGGGCCAGGGTCCTTCCGGTCCTTCCCGAGGGCCCAGCCGCCAGGCTGCCCACGCTCGGAGGGTGTGGAAGCCGAGGTGCCACTGGCCTGCTGGGCGGGCGGCACCCTGGAGTCCTAGGTGCTCAGTCCTGGGCCTCGTCCGACCGCCACTTCTGAGTGTGGTCCTTGTGTGCGTCGAGGAGGATCTGGTTTCGCATCCCTCCCGAGGAGGTTGGACGTGGCCTCCGTGGCCAGGATGAGGGGCCTCACCACCGTGGGGGGCAACTGGCGGATCACGCCGCCCACGGTCCCCGTCAGCCCCTTCTGCTCGTAGCCCCGCATCGCCACGTCACAGAAGGTCTGAGCCCTGTCCAGGAGGCCCTCTCGAACGCTGTCGTAGGCCTTGGCCACGCCCTCCCGGAGGTCCGCTGGCTGCTGGCCCTTGTGCTTTCGCAAGGAGTGCTTGTCCTGCAGGGAGCGGCTGATGGGGGCCGCTGGGGACAAGATGTCATACACCGTCTCGGCTGTGGCCTGTATGGCCTGCACCAGCCGGTTGCTGAGTTCCAGGGCCGCAGACGCTGTGGACGAGCCAAAGGAGGCCGCGCCCCGTTGCAGGCCCCACATGAGGCGCCCGTCCTTCCGGTACTGCTCGATGGGCTGCCACAGCAGGTCCCGGAACCCTTGGAAGAGCTGGACGACCGAGTGCATGTGGCCCACGCCCCGCAGCAGCCCGGGCAGCTGGTTCTTGCGGATGTCCTGCAGCCACTCGTTGAGGGCGTAGCCCAGGAGTTTGATTTTATTCAATGTACAGTGGGAGACTTTTAGGGGTTTTGAGCAGAGAAGTGATGATGGATTTACTGTTAAGAAAATAATTGTCTAATTTATGGAGAATAAACTTTGGACGGGTATACTAGTTATCTATTGTTGTGGAGCAAATTACCCCAAACTTGGCAGCTTGACAACAAATAGCCCTGACCGGTTTATTTCAGTGACTAAGTGTTGGCCTGCACACCAAAGGTCTTGGGTTTGATTCTCGGTCAAGGGCATGTTCCTGGGTTGAAGGTTCCATTCCCAGTTTTCACATCAATGTTTTTGTCTCCCGTCCCCCTTTCTGAAGAATTGGTGGAGAGAATATCCCCAGGTGAGAATAAAAAACAAATAAAACCTAAACAAATACTATATTATCTCTCAAAATTTCAGAGGATCAGCAACACAGAGTGGCTTAGCTGGCAGTTCTTGTTCAGTCTCATGGTTACAGTCAAGCTGTTGTTCTGAAGGTCTGGAGGACCCACTTCCAAGCTCACCCGTGTGGCTGTTGGTGTGAACCCCCAGCTCCTTGCCACTGGCCTCCTATAAGCCACTCATGACATGGCAGCTGGCTTCCCCCAGAGCAAATAATCTGAGAACACAACCAAGATAGAAGCCACAGTGTCTTCTATAATCTAATTGCAGAAATGACATCTCATCACTTCTGCCAAATTATATTGACCACACAGACTAACCCTAGTGCAGAGAGAAAGGACTACACAGGGGTATGAATACAGGAGGTGGAGCTCAGTGTGATCACTGTGGAGCCTGCTGCCACAGTAGACAAGAGAAGCAGGAAGACTTCTATGAAGCTAGTGCAGTGGGTGTGGTGGGTTGGTAATGTGGATCATATACCCTCCTGTGGGTATTTATTACATTGTGGATTTCTTTTCTTCCCAGGTTGTCGGCGAGACCAGGATGGCTATTATTGGATCACTGGCAGGATTGATGACATGCTGAATGTATCTGGTGAGGGCCAGAGACCACTTTCCTTTTTCATTGGCCCTGATCTCTCAGCAAGTCCCAGCTAAAGCCTTTTGAGAACCAGGATGTCCTTTGGCCAGATTGTGTTTGGGGTGAAGCATTCAGTTCTGGGCCCAGGTTTTGGAAGGCCCAGGAAGAGTGAAACACTGGAATGTGCCTAGAGGAGGGAAACTGGAGTGGTAGGGCAACTGAAACATGCCATGTGAGGAAAAAATGAAGGGCTTTTCCCATTTGACCAGACCAGCATAGATGGAACAGCAGTAGAGGTAGTGGCTGCCGGGATCTCTCTCATGCATTTCCTTTCCCTTGACAAGGACACCTGCTGAGCACGGCAGAGGTGGAGTCAGCACTTGTGGAACATAAGGCTATTGCAGAAGCAGCCGTGGTCAGCCACCCTCACCCTGTGAAGGGCGAATGCCTCTACTGCTTTGTCACCCTGTGTGATGGCTATACCTTCAGCTCCACTCTCACCGAGGAGCTCAAGAAGCAGAGTAAGGAGCCTTCCTGGGCAGACACTGTGGGTTTGTCCTGATGTCCCGGTTACCACAGTAGGTTGTTGAAGAAGGCTGGAGTAAGCTGCTCCCCAAACCACAAACAGGCTCCAGGGGGCTGACTGCCCTCTTTCCATTCAGTCTTCACTAGTCTCTCCACCAAGATAATGGCTGGCATTTATAGAATTTTTTCTCTGTACCATCACTGTGCTAAGTGCTTTAAATGCAAATAATCACCCCCCAAATTGATCCAATTGTTACCCTCCTTATAAAGATGAAGAAATGGAGGCTCAGAGAAGTTAGATCACTTGCCCAGGGCCACACTGCTAGAAAAGTGGGATTTCAACTCTAGCAAGCTGATTCTAGAGCCTGGCGGTGGATTAAGATAAATGAGATAGTAAAGAGACAGTGTGCTAAGAGACAGGCAGGCAGCGAGCATGAGAATGACTGTGCGCAGGGGCTTGACGAGGAACTAAGTGGGGAACAAAGCTATCTTTACTGTGGTTTTGGGGAGCCTGGCTAATGGTACTGAAGAAATGCCTAATGATTTGTTGTTACAGTTAGAGAAAAGATTGGCCCTATTGCCACACCGGATTACATCCAGAATGCACCCAGCTTGCCTAAAACCCGCTCAGGTATGTTCAGAGGCTGGAGGGATTGGATTGGGATTGAGGTTGACTGAGGCCCAATAGTGATGGAATGTGTGGATGGAAGCCTGTGGCAGTGTTGGCATGGGTCCTTATAGTCACCAAATAACCTGAAGCCTGTGGTCCCCCAGGGAAAATCATGAGGCGGGTGCTCCGGAAGATCGCTCAGAATGACCATGACCTGGGAGACACGTCTACCGTGGCTGACCCATCAGTCATCAGCCAGCTCTTCAGCCTCCGCTGCTTGACCGTCCAGTGAACAAGACTGCCCTTTACATGGACTCCCCCTGCTTGGCTTTCCAAAATTTTGCCCACCCTCCCTGTCCCCATCCAGGAGTGCTAAGGGCCAGGGCTGACCCACACGGAGGACCAGCTTCACCCCTGGGTGGAGGCAGCTTTCTGTGTTGCCAGGAAAAAAGACAGGACCCAGGTCAGCATCAGGCCGCAGTGCTTGCAAAGAGCTCTTGGAGCCCAGAAGACCTTCATGTCCCCAAACCAAGAAGAGTGCAAGCGAGGGCCTAGACTGAAGAAGCAGGAAGGCAGCTCTAGAATCCTTCAACTCTCAGGAAGCACCAGTGCTTACCTTGGGCATGCACTTACCCTTATAAACACCCGTTTATGAGACCTAGAATAATTATTACTTTTAAAAACACTGCTTCTTCTGCTCTGGGTCTTTGTGCCAGAAGGCCGTGCTTGCCCATTTGCTCCATGCGCTGTGCAAGCAGGCTGTTTCCAGATGGTTTTCAGATCACTTGCTTCTTTGCAAGAGTAAATGTGTTTTGTTCCTAGGGCCAGAGGAACTTGTCTTCCTTGCCCTCTGTTCCCACCCTCATCTGAACACAGTTGTGCCCATGACAGTCACTCTCAAATGAAACTCTTTTCTTGCCTTGGTTCTGCTCAAGCCCTGTGGTTGTTGGAATAAAGTCTGTGACCTCAAGAAGGTGGTGACTTGTTTTCTTGGGTATCTTATAGCCTTTATACTTGCTAGCTGCTCCCCTCTCTGCATGAGAATGTTAAGGGGAGTAGCTTTTCCCAGGAATACCCCAATATCCTTCTAAAACTTTCGGTTTGGGCAAACTAGGCAGGTCTACACTCATAGGCCCTTTGACAAATTACTGAGCTAAACAGGAAAACAAATGAAGCCAGTTTATAACTGTGATGTCCCATTATAGCTGCCTTTCCTCCAGCTCCTGTGAGGGCCCCTCTCTTCTCCCCTTGGGAGCACTAGTGAGTGACTAAAGACTGGAACTTCAGGGCCCTATTCAAAGGGTCTGGAGCTAGGGTGACTCTGATTAGAGCCAAGTCACTTCCCCTGCTCTAATCCACCTTAAATGACCCAGATTAAAGCTCCTACTTTCCCTAATTGCACAAACCAAGGAGTCACAGAATCAGAAATGTAGTTTTATTTAAGGCAGAGGTAGGGAAAGGCTACGCCCTTCCATCCCCCACCTCCTACCCCTAAGTTCTATCCCAAGTCAGACACTGGGACCTGCTAAAAAGGCTGAGGGGCTGACCGGAAGGTGCAGGGTATTGGACTCTCACCTCTGATCAGCTTCCTTTCAGTTGTACCCATACCCCCAGGATTTAGGGGCTTCTAGATCTCACCTGAGGGAAACACAGCTTTTCTGGTCTTCAAATGGGACAAACTCAGAATTCACCCCTCTCTAGAAGAGACTAGCCCTCCAAAGGAAGGAGGAGAAAAGCACCTCTCAAGAGGGTTAGGAGAGGGATGACAAGTATGAGAGATAGAGGTCTCTTGAGCGAAGTCTGGGCCGGCCTGGCTGTGCCTTCTTCACACAGGGTATGGGTTGTCCAGAACTGCCACTCCTGCTACCACACCACCATCTGCATGTTCGTTGGCTTTGGTTCGAAGCAGATGTCCCACGTGCTTGTTCATCACAAGTGTCTTTCCCTGCCTATAGAAATGGGAGCAGGAGACATACAACTCTGTCACCTAAGCTCAGTCTTCAAACACATGACCTTCCCTGGTTCCAGCTGAGCAGTACATGGGTCACTGACCACACCCAAGAAAGTGCTAGGATTTTAGAAACAGATTTGGGTTTGTATCCTAGCTTGGAAAATACTAGCTCTGTGTCTTTGAGCAAATCACTGAGCCTTTCTTAATATCAATTTTTTCAATTCTAAGTGGGGATAATACCTCTCACTTTGAAAGACAGTCCTGAGGATTAAATAAAGCAGGAAAAGCATATAACATGATGCTAGTCTCACATTGCATGTTCTATAATTATAAATCCCCTTCCCTACCTCCCTCTCAAGATGGCTATGGTGATGGGGAAGGTGTGAGGTGGTGGGGAGGGTTGGGAGTGGCAGGCAGAGATGCTGTAGGTGGTTAGAGGGGATGATTATAGAGGGCAGGCTCTGGTGGGAGCATGGCAGGATCTGGTATTCCTACCTTGCCCTGACCTTGGAGTATTTTGTAGGAAGCAGTGTGAGGGACCAGGAACTGTTCCTTATAAATACCAAGTCTTTTTCTATTCTTGATTCTTTAGTGCTCAAATCCAAATCCAGAGGCCGCTCAGATTTTCAAAGCCACTGAGTACCCTCTAGCTGGCCCATCCCACCTTTCCCGGCCCCAGAAGACGGGGACTGGACCTAAACTCTTCTTCCTTGGTCTCCTAGCCCAGGGTTATTTTCTCATCCATATGGCTACTACTTGAAATTTCCTTTATAGTTACAAAATACTTCTCATCTGGGCTTCATTTGATAGCCCAGTTAGATGGGCAGGTCTTGGGTCCTTGGTTTTATTTATTAAATAAGGAAATGTAGCTAAGGATGGGTAGAGCTGTGACCTGTCCAGTGCTTCCCTCCAGGTTTTCTTGGTTGGGCCTCTGGCAAGAAAGCCCCTCCGGAATGGCTCACCTGACATAGACTCCGAAGATGCCCAGCTCTGAGATACACGGGACCACTCGGACAGGGCATCCAGGCCGTAGTAGGCAATTTCCAAAAGGCTCAGGCTCAATCTTCTCCATGAGAATGTAGGAGGCTCTCTCCTCGCTGTCTTTCAGCTGCGTCAGGGCCTGCACCATCTCTTCCCCATAAAGGTTGTTACCTGCAATTCCACTGGCCAGTCACCATGGACCCTGTGTCCACCTTTTCCACCCCATCCCCCCACTTCTGGGGCCATCTGGGAAGTTGGCAGCCTCAGTTTCTGACACCAGCTCACTGAAGCCAGAACAGGCCTGGCTCCCAAGAAGGAAAGGTCACCTTAACAAGAGTCTTGACTCACACAAGTGAACACATCCTGCCCTGGTTCTCCTCCTACCTGTCTCTGGCTTTTACTTTTCAGCCTCTCTGATTGGTTCCTGCCCCCATTAAATGTTGGGATTTCCAAGGAATTATTCTCTCCTCCATGTACACACTTTTTTTTTTAAAGGGAGATTTCTTCCAAAACTCCCATCTATATTCTACAACTTGTTAACTCAAGATCCCTGCTCTTAGACATCAATGAATATCCACTGGGTCCCGAAAACAAACTCAACATGTCTAAACAGAATACATTACTTCTGCCGAAACCTGCCCATCTTGGACCTTCCTACTCCCAATCAGGCAAAAGATATTCCTGAGTCATATTTAACTCCTTCCTCTCCATTACCTCACCCATTCAGACATGTCTCTTCAGTCTGCACCCCACAATGTCACAGTGCTAGCCCAAACCTCTACATTGCTCTTCTGGACACCTATGCCAGCCTCCTCTCTGATCTTAAAACTCTTATGATGTCCCACTACCCTTAGAATAAGATCCAATTTCCTGCATATAGTCAATGTCCTTTATAATTAGGTCCCGAACCATCTTTACCAGCTCAAAACCCTGCTTCCTATTTCCCATGCTGTACTCCAGCCTCACCATAACTTATTAATCTCCAAACACTGGTGGACCAGTGCTTTTGCTTAAAGTTGCTCCTTCTGTATGGTATCCTCTTCCCCATTTTCCACCTGGTAAACTCCTACCTCTCTCCTAAAACTAAGATAAAAAACCATTTCCTCTCTTTCTGTAAGGCAGAAATGATCCCTGCCTTCAAGAAGTTCACACTAGGCAGGAAAACATCTAAAGCCCTGCTATGTCCCCATCCCACTTCCCACAATCCACCCACAAGCACCTCAGACTAAACTGTCCAAACCCTCAATGCTGGTGAATCAGATTCCCCTGTGCTCACAGCACCTGTCACAGTGTCTCCTGGGACACTGTCCAAGGTGAAAGCCTGTGTTCACAGCAAGTGCTGGTCAGCACTGGTGACAGTCTGCTAGCCCCTTTCCCCTGAGCAGCCCAGCAAAGGGGGACCCACATACCTCCACCTTCTCTCTGGGGCTTTAACACAAACCGGCTAGGAGCAGCAAGGGCCTCCGCAAGGGCCTGGTCCCCTTCTTCACCCTGGTAGGAGGTAAGAAAGCAGTCACTGGCAGTCTTAGGCCAAAGGGGAAGGAGGTGAGGTCCTGCTGGTAAGGCAGAGCATCGGGGAGAGCGGTAAGCCTCTTTAGACTGGATGCATGTGACCCCTCAAGAAGACTCCTGCAGCAGCAAGTACAGGAGAATAAGTTTTCTCTGGTAATAATTCAGGGTCTGCAGCAGAAGACCTGGAAAGTGGGTACAGGTATTCCCTCACCCTTGCTGTCTGCCTCCGCCTTTCCTCTGTTGCCATCCCCATCTCCACCTTTGCAGTGGATTCTTGCTCCCCTCCCTACAACAGAGCATCACTGACCCAAGTCTAGTCCAGTGTCAGCTCCAGCCTCCCCGACGCATTGGGCTATGGGTCCCTGCCACCTAAGAGGCCGGCGGTGGGAGAAATGGGCTGTTTACACACCAGATCCAGTGAGTACTGGCCAGCAAAGGTGGCACGGAGGCGGGCCACAGCCTCGGGCTGGTCAGGGAGCAACATCTCCAGCACGCCCACTCTGCTCAGCTCCTGCTGCACCTTCTTAGTCCCAGCCAGCTGGGTGGCAATATCTGGGCACTTGACCGCACATGACCTCTCCAGCAGCAGGCGTGCTTCCCAGTTCTGCAGAGAAAAAACAAGAGGAAATATACTTTATTTCACACCAGCTGTCCATCAAGTGCCAGGCATCGTATTTTTATTCTCATTTATCCTCCCCAGAGTCACTGCAACATCCTTGTGAGGCAGGTGTGTCCCCTCCCAATCTGCAGAATTCTTGCCTTCAGGAAGCTCCCAGTCTAGCTCAATGATACATGACTATGATGAAAACGGAAAACATTAATGTGAGAGAGACATATTGATCACTTCAATTGGTTGCCTCTTGCACATGCCTGACTGAGGCCGGGGATCAAACCAGCAACCAAGGTACATGCCCTTGACCAGGAGTCAAACCCGAGACCCTTTGGTGTGCACTGAGCAACACCAGCCAAGACTCTCTCCCTGGAATTCTTTTCCAAAGGATGATTGAATCCTTCTCATTCTTAAACCTGGCCTTAAAGTCATCTTCGCAAATCGCCCTATTTAATGTGTGTTTCCCCATAATTCTCTACTTTTTCACCCTCTTGTTTAATTAAAAGAATTTCCCCCAATTAGAAGAAAAACATTTTTTTCTGTTTTTGTTTACTTTCTGGTGTCCATCTGCCTGACCAGATTGTGAGCTCCATGATGACTGGTCCCTTGTTGTCTTTGTTTCCTGCCGTATCCCCAGTGTTTAACACAGTTTCCTGCCTGGCACTTTGTAGGTTCTCAATAAGTATTTGTTATTGTTGTTTAATAAAATGAAATCTGAGTGACAGGCAGAATTAGACAGGTGAGACTTAATAGAGAAGTACAGTAAGTCCTCAACACTGTCGATAGATTCTTAGAAACTGCAACTAAAACAATTTTATCACAAGCTAATTGATATAAAAAAGAGTTAAGTTCCTATGGCATATTTCTGGTCACAAAAACATCACCAAAATTCTAAATAAAGATCCAAACTCTTCTATTATTAAAAAACAAAATGAAAGTGAACTATACATACATTTAAGAAAGATTAATAAAAACAAAATAATGACTTTCCAACCACTTAGTCCAACCCAGGGTTGCGGGTAGAGGAGCCTATTCCAGCAGCTGTGGGTGCCAGGCAGGAACCACGCCTGAACAAGATACAATTCCCCCCCACACACACACTCACTAGATTGGGACAATTTAGACATGCCAGTTCACATAATGTGCACATCTTTGGGATGTGGGAGGAAACCGGAGTACCATGCAGGCATGGGGAGAACATGCAAACTACAGAGATAGTGGCCCCAGCCTGGATCATCCCCCCTCCCCTCCGCCCCCCATTAACATTATAATGAGACAACATTATTCAAGGACCTGCTGTACTCAGATTAACAGAATAATATGAGCAAAGGCCTATAGGTGGGAAATCACAGGACGAAAAGTCCAGTGTGCCAGAAGTTTAGGGTGTGAGAGGCAGGGAAACAGCAGGTCATACCCACTCTAGTCCCATGCTCAAGCTTTTCTGTGCTGTAGATTAGGGGCAGGGGAATGATTACTGGGAATGCCTTTGGACTGAGAGTCACAAAGCCTGGGAATCCCCAGAGGGACCTTTGACAAGCCTTGCATCTCCCCAAACCTTGGTTTCTCCTTTTGTATAATGGGAATACTTATATGCCTCACAGGGTAGATGTGAGGATTCACTGAAATAATGGATGTGGAAAGTAATTTTGAAACTCCATGGTAGGGATAACAAGATAAGGTGATATTATTAACCTTATTAACTATCATTAACATGAATGGGGAGGTGATAAAAACTCTCTGAGGCAGATAAAAGAGTGGAAAGAGTTGGCAGGAAGGAAATGGTCAGTGGTGTGGTAAAACTGGTTTGCATCAGCTTGTAAGAGCTGACTTACCCATCTCTTCCTGTGTTTAGAGTTGTTAAATTGGGTAACTTGAAATTGGCCATGATGGGGAGAATTTACACAATACAAATCAGCAAATGCTCCAAATTGGGACTTCCTTCAGAAAGATGATGGTTAAACACTACCAGCATATCCCCAGAAACAGTGTGAATGGCTAAAGCACTGTGGATTCCTGAGCACTCAGATTCTAGAATTCAGTGTTTATAGAGAGTGAGAGGTAGCAAAAAGCTTATAGGATTGGAGATTCCAGCAGCAAGTTCCCTGAGGAAGTACTGAATCCAGAGCTCAGGGAAAACCTGGTTTGTCGTGACACCTGAGTTGGGTCTCTGAGGAGCGATCGTAGGCCCCGGAGGTGAAGAATAGTTGAATAGAAAATACTAACCTGTTGATTGTACTGACTCGGCATGTAGCCATCCCGGAAGTAAACCACAGCAATTTCCTGGCCATCCCTAGAAGACAGGATGGAGAAAGCTGTTGGGTTAAATTGTAGCTGAAGTTTTCAGTACAGTAGTTTGATCTATTTCAGGGCACATCAAGATGAGTTTGGCTACTTTGAAAGGCCACAGGGGCAACCCAGACAGGGGTTCACTGGAGCCAGTGAGAGGAGATACCCACACCTCCACTGCTTCTACTAAAAACTAAAAACACGGAGGGGTTAAATCCAAACAAACAAGCACACACACGCGTGAAGGTGTCCAGAAAATAACGCATTAGAATATTCCACGTCTAGAATCATTCTAGGAAGGCCAGAAGGAAACTAGAATCAAATTAGGTAAACTTTTAGAAATGGGGCTTAAAATTACTGAAATGCACTAGTATTTACTGTGTAAAGAAGTTGAAAACAGGCTGAGATTTTTTTTTAAATAGTGGGAGTGATGGAAGGGAGATGCAATATTATGGGTCTAGTTTAAGACACAGACTGTCTTTTGAACTTCACACCTTTCTTTGGTTTATTTAGTATTTTCTGGTTATGCCCTGGCCAGGTAGCTCAGTTGTTTGGAGCAGCTTTGTAATATACCAAGGTTGCTGGTTTGATCCCCAGTTAGGACACATACAACAGCCAATCAATGAATGCAAAAATAAGTGGAATTACTATTTGTTCTCTCTTCCCCTCTGTCTAAAAATCAATCAATAGCCCTAACCAGTTTGGCTCAGTGGATAGAGCGTCGGCCTGTGGACTCAAAAGTCCCAGGTTCAATACCAATCAAAGGCATGAATCTTAGTTGCAGGCACATTCCCAGTAGGGGGTGTGCAGGAGGCAGCTGATTGATGTTTCTCTCTCATCGATGTTTCTAACTCTCTCTCCCTCTCCCTTCCTTTTTGTAAAGAATCAATAAATTATATATTTTTTAAATAAAGATCAATCAATAAAATTTTTGTTAATTTCTAGTTTATCTGGAAAGTAAATTAATGACTATCTTGTTATGACAAAAGTACATTTTGAAAGTAGTAAATGGTATTGTGAAATTCCATGAAGGTTCTTAATTTTAAGAATTACAAATTCCCAGATCTAAATATGTGTGCTATACGCATTACTGTACAAAAAATGAGCTACTAAAGTCATCGGGCGGTGGCTTAGAGCACAGACCCAGCCCCTTGAGGTCTTCCTGTGCTACGAGCAGGTCCCAGACCAATCACAGAATAAGACAGCTTCTCATCTTCCTCCCTGATTGTCCAGCCCAACTGCGGAGGCCTGACTTAACTAGCCACCAAGAGGGACAAGAAAATTTTGGGATGCCCTAGCCAGTTTTGCTCAGTGGATAGAGCGTTGGCCTGCAGACTTAAAGGGTCCCAAGCTGGATTCTGGTAAATTGCACATGCCAGGTTGTAGGCTCACTCCCCATAGGGGGCGTGCAGGAGGCAGCCACTCAATGATTTTCTTTCATAATTGATATTTTTCTCCTTCTCCCTTCCTCTCTGAAATTAATTTTTAAAAAAATAAAGAAAAAAATTGGGAGCCTAAGGGTATATGAAAACCAAGGTTATTTTAAGAAGGCCCTTATTTAGAATGTCAGCAGCTCTAATATACCCCTTTAGAAGCAGAATTTGGCTAGCCCTCTCCAAAATTTCCCAGAACGATGGGATATTTCAGAGTTCACCCCTAAAATTTAGAAGGAAGGAAGCAAGCTATCAGTTCTCCCAGAAGAGAGGACCATTTGGGAGAAGTGGGTGAAAGGACGAGTTTCCATACCAGTTCTCTACTGGATCCCTGGGGAATGCACCCTGAACACTTACAAAAACAGCTTTCGGTCTTGGTCCAAAGATCCCTTTTCAGCAACATCTTCAAATCTTCGCCGGATGACATGGATGTTCCTGGAAAAGATGGGCAAGGGTCATGGGGAGTAGATGCTCTGGTCTGAGTGCTCACCCCAGTCTTGGGGCTGTATTTAGAGGTCTTCCCAGCCTTCCCTTACCTGGCCAGTAGCTCATTCTCTATGGCACGCTGGTCAAAAACGTTCCTTTCCTTCTCCTGAGCAACCAGTAGCACCAGAGCTCTGGAGAAAGAGCACAGGTGGCCCATCTGCTTATCCTCCCTCCACACCCCCCCCTTCAGGAGCGGGAAGGAGCGCACAGCTTCCCTGAACAAGATGTTCTCTCCACTCAGGATTGCGTCCCGCATAGACACCCGAGGCTACAACATATTATTTCCTGAAAATAGGAAACTTGAAAAAGTAAAGATGTCTATGCCCCTTCTCTGATAGGCAGGTGAAATATTACAATGATGTGCAATTTTTGTGCAAATTAAAATTCACATTTAAAAACCCAAGAGAACTTTTTCTTAAAACTTTACGTAATCCTAAAATCTTTCTGAAGAATAAACAGGTAAGAGTAGTAAAGAATGTTTTATACAGAACAATGCTGGGGGTGAGACAGACAGAAAAACTATGAAGGAAAGGATTGAGAGCTTAGAGCCTAAGAGTTGGGCCATTAGTGCAGGCAAACAGCCTCACAGCCTTTATAACTCTCGGCAGCACCTCACTGACAATCATAATGATGACCTCAAGCCTACACGGAAAGATTAAATTATAGTTAGCATCTTTTATTTGGGAAGAACGCCCAAAATTATTTTGGCTTTTAAAGTGTTAAGCTTTTCTATACCTAGGACAATTTACTCATTCCCTAATGATGTCAGGCAAAGAGGTTGCTGTACCCATAAACGCTGAATCTAAAGCAGGATTCTTCTGCCACTTCCCCCCCCCCCCCCCTTACTTGGCTGAACCGTAGAGCTCCCAGGCTTTGGCGATCCCCAGGGCCAGTCCCTTGCTCGGATTATTGGAGAGGATCCTGGCCGCGTCTTTGGTCTTATTCAGGACATTGAGAACATGTCTGTTGGAGGAGAGATGTCTGTTTAGTAATTGAATGGATCTGAAAGACGCCTATGCCTGAGATACACTTATAGAAACATCACTTTGATAATCAGCTGAGCATTAAAGAGCACCTTACCATCACATTCCTGTAGAATCCACCTAGGCTAGAATATGAGGGCTACTTTAACCCTAGCTCCTGGTGCCTATGCACAGAGAAGCCCTGAGACCCTGTGAGTTCCCAATGAGCTGGACCCCCTTTCTCTGAGCCCCAGGAACTGTCTGGATCCCTGCTGTAGACCCTCTGGAAGTACAGCAACCTGGAGCATCACTGCTGGCTAGAATTAGATGCCAGCCCTCAGGTGGGAAACCTCTGTGTCTGTCTGCCTTGGGTTCTGACTTCCTTTCAGGCCTCCGAACAGGAAGATCCTGTTCTCCCTGCCTGAAATACTAACTTGTACGATGAGGGGGTAGGACTAAATGAACTGTGAGGTCCCTTCTTTACCTGAAATGCCAAGACATAATTACAATGGAAACTGTGCCTGTGGGGAGGGATGACACATGACCCAGGGCCCAGGAAGGCATAGTCAGAGTTGGAGAAGTGGAAATCCCTGTCCTTGCCTGTGACTGTAGGCTCATCAGGCTGTCACCTACTGGTGTGCCCAGGGCTGCCAAGGGACCCACCGGTGCACAGCTGGGGTCCGGGAGGCCAGGCCCCCAAAACTGGCAGAGATGGTGTTGATTTCAATCTGTTTCAGGGCTGGGGAGCCATCTGCGTTGCGCTGGAACATGTAGTCTGAGCGATTCAGGCCCAGGAACACAGTCTGTGGGGAAAACTGAAGGCTGAGGATAGTTGCCCAGGGGCTGACTCTGAGGGCCTAGCCACGGAGCAGATAGGTACCACCAGCACTGCACAGAGATTAGAGGCACTGGCTAACACTCCCAAACACAGCGGAGTCATTGTTCTGGTCATCCCAGGGTTGGCCAGTGATGTACACATCCAGTGGGGACAATGAGAGGCAGATTTCCATGAGTTTAGGGCCTGGGACAATCTCTTTGGTTAAAATAAAGAGGGTCAGGGCCCAGCCTGGGGTGGAGTAGAGAATGTATACCTGGGCAATGCCCTCTTTCAGGACTTGCTTGTAGATATCAAAGAGACGAGCAGTGAAGGTGTCCCTTTTGATGGTGCTGGAGGAGGAAACAAAACATTTTCTAGCTTACACTGTATCTTAAAGGTCAAGGAGTTCCACCCTGTCCATTGATTCTTGAATCCTCTCTGGGTTGTATTGGCCCAAACCTGAACACCAACCAGAAAATAGTGGTTTAGAACCCAGCTCCAGAGCCAGATGACCTGGGTTCAAATACCAGCTCTATCACTTACTAGATACACAACCATAGAGAATCATTTTACCTCTCTGTGACTGTTTGCTTAACTGTAAAATGAAGAAGAAAACAATTATATTTACGTCACAGTTGTGGTGAAGCATAGAGAAGATATTACATGTATAGAACTGAACACAGAATCTGGTCCCAAGAACCAGAAAATGGCATGTGATATAACCATTCTGTACGTAGGTGGCTCTGATGACGATACGCTAACTTCACATTCACTCTCTGTAGTTTCCCCTACGCCTTGGGACCTCCCAGACAAGCCTTCTATTCCTCTCCCACACAGCCCTCAGAGACCGTAAGACAGCAGGTATGCCCCGTGCCCCAATAGTTTTCTGATGCAAGCCACGTATCCTGTTTTTCTCTTGGACCTGTCCTCCTGGGCTGTGATTCCTTCCCTGTCGGGGTCAGCTCCCCCTGCTAGGTGCTTTCACAGTTCTGTGGATCTCTCCTGTATAGCACTGACTGCAGCTGCAAATTTCCACTTTATTTGTGTGATGATTAGCGATGTTTTTCCTTTTTGCCTATAAACCACATAAGGGTAGAGACCGTGTCTGCTGGCTCATGATCATGGCCCAGCGTGCCGTTGTGACACATGGTGGGAGCCCATCCAGTATGGTTTTCTGGAGTGTCAGGGGGACGCCACCCACAGGTAACTAATTAATGCCACACCTGTTGTCCTTCAAGATTCAGGGTGGTCTCTGCATGCCTGCTCAACCCTGATTCGCAGGCTCACCTTGTTACAGGACCCGCTGAGCCTAGCAGCTCAGGCCCGCCCCGAAGTTCCTCTGCTCCCCAGCCAGCTCTCTCATAGGGTTTCCCAGCCCTTGGTGAGGAGTAGAGCCCCCAGTGGGCCTCAGCCTCCTGGAAAGCTGAGACACATTTTCCTTCTTCCAAGGAGGTGCTTCTCTTCAAACTTAGACCCTAAGAGGCTAGCTCACATGTTCCTGGGGCTCTTCTCCCTTACAAGCTAGGGTTTGTGTGTATTTCAGAGGAGAAGGGAACAGAGACTTCAGAGACAGGCTGCAGAGAAGGTCTCCCACATAATAGCATCTTCAGGGTAAAGATCATAAATCAGACCAGTCACATTTCCCACAATCCAGAATCAGAGGTGTAGGGTTTACACATTCATGATTCATTGTGTTTTTAGCTCCAAGTCAATGGTTTCCAAGCTCCTTTTACCATTATGATCCTTTGTCAGATTCACCCTCACACCAATGTACACATTTTTGAAAATTAGACATGCCATTACATGTCTTCTCTCTCTCTCTGCGCGCGCGCGCGCACACACACACACACACACAATTTATATATACTAAATTCTAAAATAAAGAATGTAATTCTAAAGTAATTTCCCTTGCCCAAGGACCTGAAGGAAAATAAATCAAAAAGAAAGAGACAGAAAGGGGTGGATGGAGTAAGTCATTTCCGGTGTTCTGTAGCTTTGTTGCCCAGTCTGTGCCTCATCCACCCAGAGAGGCCGGGACACAATAAGGGTCACTCAGGAGAAGTAGATCTGACTTTGAACCCAATAACCTGACTTGCCCTCTGTTTTCTCTAAATTTCAGTCTCTTCCAAGAAGGGGATCACAGATCAGAGAATCACAGAATGTCAGGGTTGAAAGGACCAACCTCCTCATTCTACAGATGGAGAAACAAAGGGACTTGCTTGAGGCCATGTTTTTAAATAAGTGGAGAGCCAGGATTAGAAGCCAGATCTCCTGACTTCTGCTACATTCTCTTTCTCCTGGGGGTGCCTGCATCACACTCTACCAAGTCAGACGCCAGCAACACCTCATGGCTTTCCAGTCTCCCAGCCCCCTCCAGCAGTCCCCGGCCCCCCCGTGTCCCACCACCTACTACCTGGAAAGAGTTTTCTCCAGAAAGGCAGCGTTCTGGCTGACAGCATCCACCAGCTGGTTGAAGTCCATCTGCACAGCATAGGCCTGTTCCAGCAGAGCACTGGGGACCGGTGAGGGGAAGAGCGTGAACGGGGCATAGCTCACCACCTGATGGAGGAGAGTGCATGTGTGATGACTACGAGGGTATTTCCTTGGCATTGATACGTAGAATTCTGCCTCTCCCAACAAATCCCACTTGGCCTGAAAAACTCCCCAAAAGTTTTTCTGCTGAGACTTCCCTCTGCCTCTGTCCCCAGGTCTCATGCCCACTTGAATTTGAAATCAATAGTATCTAGCTATTCTTCGTTGTCCATCGGCTAACGGCTGAAACACTATCTTCGTACATTTTTCCCCAATTTTTAAATTGATTTTTAGAGATAGAGGAAGACAGAGGGAGAGAAAGCGAGAGAAACATCAATGTGAGAGTAGAACATCAATTGGCTGCCTCTGGCAAGCCGCCAACCAGAGATCAAGCCAGAAACTCGGGCATCTGCCCTGACCAGAAACTGAACCAGCAATCTTTGGGTGCCAGGGACACACCCAACCAAATGAGCCACACCAGCCAGGACACAGTCTTTATTCTTTTGATAGAACCCCAGACATAGAGTAATATTTTTCTACTATTAGAAAAGCTATAGCACATACAGGAAACACTCTGCTTCATAGTGAGGGAAACAACAGAGAGTGATGGGAAGAAGTAAGAAGTCCCCCTCTCTAACGGGGCTGTCGGGCCCTAGCCGGTTTGGCTCAGTAGATAAGAGAATTGGCCTACAGACTGAAGGGTCCCGGGTTTGATTCAGGTGTGGGGCATGCAAGAAGTAGCCGATCAATGATTCTCTCTCATCATTGATGTTTCTATCTCTCTCTTCCTCTCTGAAATCAATAAAAAAACATAATAAAAAATAAAGGGGCTGTCAGAACTCTAATTAATTGTTGGTATGTAGGAACGTGGGCCAGGGTTAACAGCTGATCTGATTTTTCTAGACAAGCTGGGTATCTAGATTTTTTTAAAAACTTCATGATTTAAAAAAATGTTGGCTCTACGTTGGCTTGGGGACTGAAGGGTCCCAGGTTCGATTCCGGTCAAGGGCATGTACCTTGGTTGCGGGCACATCCCCAGTAGGGGGTGTGCAGGAGGCAGCTGATGGATGACTCTCTCATCGATGTTTCTAACTCTCTATCTCTCTCCCTTCCTCTCTGTACAAAATCAATAAAATATATTAAAAAAAAAAATGTTGGCTCTAACTTTTCAAAGACACTCTGGTTAAAACACACACACATACACACACACACTAAATAATGCTTGCCCCTGGGCAGTGAAATAGTAGCTAGAGAAAACATTCTATACTAAATATCCTTTTGGACTTTGTACCCTGTTCAAGTGTACTTTTTAAAAATTAATTAACTCCCTAAACACTGCAGGAGCCAACTATTCAATCTGCACACAACTGGTTAGTGACTCTGATCTACAAAGTCCCGACTTCTTCCACCCAGTATGCAAAGCCCCTTGGCTAGCTGACTTTGGCCTGCCTTCTTTCCCACTCTATCCACTTACGTGACGGGCATTCACTGAAACTTTTTTATTTATTTACTTTTTTTGCCTTTCCCTGCATTGGGGCCTCTGCTATGCTGTTCCATTCCCATATTTGTCTTTTAACAAACTATTGAAATGATCCCTGGAAGTGTCGTCTTCCATTAGTCTTTTAGGATCTAGTTCAAATGCCACTAATGAATTGCTCCTTCCTACAGGTGGCCTCCACAGTATCCTGGGAGAGGCAGTAAAGCGTGCAAGTTCAGAGCATGGGCTCAGGAGGCAAACTCCGGGGTTTGAATTCTGGCTCTGTCAATTACACCACCACTTAATGATTTGGAGCAAGTTACTGAACCTCGGTGGGCCTTGGATTCCTCATCTCAGTTGTGGTGAGGATTAAATGAACCAATGATTCCAAAGTGAAAAAGATACTTCCTGTCTTTTTCTCTGGATTGGGAAATTGAGAACTGTGCCTTTTCTAGGTTCCATTAACTTCCAGAAAGACCAAGTGTTGGACTTTCACACAATACTTGTTGATTAACAGAAGAAATAAAATCTTGGAAGAGAAGTACTACATTCTGGGTTCAAATAGTTCACAAAATCTCAAATTCACAAACCAAGCAATGATATTCTTAAAGCCAGAGGCACACCTCCACAGTATCAGCCTACCTTTAGTGACAGCCATTCTAACTGGCTCAGGTCTTTTCTACATCAACCATAGAGACACACTCATATAGGTGCCCAAACAGCAAACACTTATTGAGTTTGAACTCTCCACCAGCCCTATAACTAGGTTCTGGACACAGAGAGACAAGAGTGTCTTGGTAAAAATGATGATGGCAGCTCTTTAGTTACTAATCTGAATAGTCAGAAGTATACTGTTAAGTAAAAAAGTAAAGTACACAAGAGCTTGTCTAGTATGCTTTGTACAAAAAGTTGGGAAAAGGAATCTATACATTTATCTCTTTATGAATAAGCTATCTGAAAAAAATAAACAAGAATAAATGTTTTGTTTATAAAACAGGTTACCATCAGGGCAAGAGAATTGGGCAGTTAGGGAATATGGAAGGAAGAGTTAAACTGTAAATTCTTATAGTCTTAAAAGCTTTTTTAATTTATTTTTTTAAATATATGGTGTTTTTTTAAAAATTGATTTTGAAGAAAGAGGAAGAGGGAGAGAGAAAAATATTGATGAAGGAGAACCATCAATTAGCTACCTCCTAGCACACCCCCTACGGGGGATTAAGCCCAATGTGCCCTGACCAGGAATTGAACCAGCAACTCCCAACACAACTGAGCCACACCAGCCAGGACTCCTTTATATTTTGAAGCATGAAAATGTCTTACCTGGACACAAAATGAAAAGGTTTTTTTATTTTTTAAGGATGAGATTTTTTAAAAAGATGTGATTTGGACTCAGCAATTCTACTCTTATATATCAACCACAGAGAAACACTTATATAGGTGCCCAAACAGGCATCTATGGGGATGGTCCCAGTACTGCTATTTGTAGTCATAAAGCATTGGAGATCACCTAAAGAGTCACCAGTAGAAAAAAGTTAAACTGTGATTCATCCACACCTAATACTATACATTAGAATGAAGCTGATCCTAATGGAGGAAGTTGGAAAGAGTTCCAAAACAGATTGCTAAATGAAAAACAAAAACAGAGCAATATGTATAATCCATCTTATTTGTAAAAAACAAACAAACAAAAAAACCAAACCAACATTATACAGGTTTGGCCCATGTGGCTCATGCACTGAGAGGGTGACAGTTTGATTCCTGGCCAGGGCTCAATCCCGGGTAGAGAGCATGCAAGAGGCAGCTGATTGATGTTTCCTTCTTACATAGATGTTTCTCTTTCTTTCCCTTCCTTTCCCTCTAAAGATCAATAAAAAGTCTTAAAAAAACAAACAAATTATACGGGGGGGGGGGGTTGGGTGGAGGTGGGCAAAGGGGGTGGGGTGGGGTGGAATGGAGGACATCTGCAATAGCATCAACAATAAAAAAAAAAAAAAAAAAAACCGTCTTAAAAAAAAAAACCCTATATATTTCTTTATAAACATATACATGTGTATAAGTGCACAGAGAAAGACCTGGAAGGATGTGCTACAAACCAACTACAGAGAAGGAAGTATGATTAGGGGGTCTTAAAAAGTAATAGCTAACTGGGCAAAGTGCTTCCCATGAATTATCTTCTAACTCTCTTACCAATTTGATGAGGTAGGCCCCATTATTATCCTTTCTTTTAAATATTTGAAGAACTTGCAGCTGAGAGAGCTAAGTAACTTGCCTAAGTCACACTTCAAATCCCAGACTTAAATTTAATTATTCTGGCATGGTGCTTTTCACTTTACATAATTCTAAAGGTCAATGTTAGTTATTAAAGAAAAAGAAAAAAAGCAAAAATGTGATCTCTGACCCAAAGGAGTTGCCTCGGGCCCGACAGGGGCCAGATGATGGGCAGAAGGACACAGAACAGTGCCGTGTGGAGGAGCTTACATCTGAGCTGGACTGCTCCTTTGTGGTCCTCAGCAACACTCCCTCAGCCAAGGCCCGGTCCACCGCCTGCCGGGCCAGCTCCTCCAGCTGCTGCTCACCCTGCAAGGAACTTCCCCAGGTACTGGCCATTCCAACCTGCAACAGAGGAAGAGGGGCTTGGTGACAGATAGCCAGGGGCCAGCAACCACTGAAACGGGTGGTATGACACAGGGCAGCTTCATGAGCACAAAACAGAAAGCTTGACAAGCAATTCCACTGCCACGCTCTCTTTTGATTCCTAGAATGATTATTATTCTCATAGTAAGGAAGAAGAGGTTCCGAGGGGTGAAACTACTTTCCTCAAGGTAATGAAGAACTGGTAGACATGGACTTGAACCCATGTCTCTGGACTCTCGGCTCAATGCTTTTCGTTGTAGAAAGAGGCACTATTGCCTTATGTTATTGGAGCAAGTTCCTTCCAATCCCAAGCTGTAGACTCTCTGCCTGTGTGAAACAAAGGAGGGTGGGGGAGACCAATGGTCTCTAAAACTGGCTCAATAGTTTGGGGGCGGGGGTAGGGTTTGAGAGGTAATACAGATTCCTAAACCCCATTCAGAAATTCTGATTCAAGACGTCTGGGGGAAGGGAGGGACTGAAACTGTATTTTTTAACAAGTTTTCCTGGGATGGGACCACTGCAAAAGATAATAATTTTCCTCCTAGCCCCTAAAACCCAGATCTCAAATAAATTACATGGGAGTGCTTTGCTGACCTTCAAACCAGAATATCCAACTGCTTACTTGGAGTCTTCACAGAACCAGAGTAGAATTTGTTGTCTCCACACAAATCTCCTCTGATTAACCCGCCCAGGCACCCACACCTTGTATATACTTCTGGTATACCCTATTCTCCCCAAATCCTGTGCAGTCTGTCTAAAGATACAGTCCTTGGAATTCCTTGATTTCTCTCCATCTCCACTGTCAGGAGCTTAGCACTAAACCCAAGACCCAGGGTTCAGAGTGAGCGATCTTCAATGACCAGAATACATCAGCTCCTCTCCTTCCAGGTCCGGGCACGTGGAGTAGTTTGGAATACTTCCCACCACTCCCAACCAGGTCCATGACTTCGTTTTAGAAGCCACCCCTGTTCTCCTCCACCCAGGGCTTCTACAGCCATTACATCTCCCTGCATCGGGTCCGTCTAGACCACCTCCAGCGCCTACCACGGTAGTCAAGGAATGTAAAATGAATGAATGACCCGAAGCCTCAAAACGCCCACAGGAAACCCGGTTGGACTTCATCCCGAGGGCGGGGCCAGTGCCTGTGCGGAGCCCGGGGCAACCACACGGTCTCCGGCCCAGGCAAGCCTCCCTTTATAGGCTTGATCGCTCTCAGGCTGGACAAAGTTTGGTCCTACTCGCTCCCACTTTAAGAAAAAAAGACCACGCGGGCTCTAGCCTCACCCGCACCATGTTCCCGACCGCGCCCGCATCTGAAGTCTCAGGAGACCTGGGAAATCTGAGCCCAACCCCCTCACTGGATACGTTTCCTGGTTCCAGGCAATGACTTGGATCTGCAAGATCACTGGCCTCCAGGGTTCCAAACGCGGGCCGGTGCCCTCCCTCGCGTCATGCCTCCGGAGGAAACGTGACCCTCGCCGGCCGCCGTTGCCTCGTCCCCAACCTACTTGTGCGTGATCCCGCCGCGCAGCGTACTCGGGTCTCTCGCGCCGTTACCCGCGGTCCCGGGGGCGGGGCCTCCGCGGGCTCCAGAGCGCCTGCGCGGACCGCCCCTGAGGCGGGGCCTGAGAAGCGAGGCGGGGAGGAGGCGGGGCCTGAGAGACGGACGGCGCCCGGGAAGGGGCGGGCCGTGTGAGGCAGCCGTGGTCTTAGGATGCGTCGGCCTGACCCAGGCGGACCGGACTCTGGGAAGGAAGGAGGAGTCGCGCTGCGGGTTTGCACCGCTCGTAGGTCGTCCGAGCTGATGATGTCCAATGTACAACGGGGACACCCACCCCGAATGGGGCCGCCGCTACCTCGGGGCTCGCAGCTGGCGGGCGAGGCGGGTGACGGAGGCCCAGAGCACGTCAGGGCGGTTTCCCCCTCAGTCCCAGAAAAGCCCACCTGCTTTCTCTAGTCCCGGGTCAGCCGCAGGGAAAGTCCGAGAGGCGAGGGGACGGCGTTTTCACACCTTCCCAGCGATGTTAGAGTTAGGAGCTGGTGATGGTGACCGGTGTTTCTCAAAATGCCCAGCCTCACTGCCGTCGGGGTCTGGGGCAGGTTTTGTTTTGTTGTTTGTTTTTTAATATATTGATTTTTTACAAAGAGGAAGGGAGAGAGATAGCGAGCTAGAAACATCATGAGAGAGAAACATCAATGAGCTGCCTCTTGCCCACTCGCTACTGGGGACGTGCCTGCAACCAAGGAACATGCCCTTGACTGGAATCGAATCCGGAACCTTTCAGACCTCAGGCTGACGCTCTATCCACTGAGCCAAACCGGTTTCGGCTTTTTTGTTTGTTTTAATGCAGCTTCTTCTTACCTACCCCCACCTCACTCCTCGATGGCTTCCCTTCTTTCTGGGTTGTGATAGGATTCTTCTCAATGCGAAGCACCTGAGAGGAATTTTAGTTAAAACCGAATTTCAGTCCAGGCTCTGGGGAATTAGCCATGAATAAGACACAGCCTCTGCTTTCACATCTGATTAGGAAGGTAGACTTGTAAACTGTGCTTTTCTGGGGAGTCGGGGAAGGCGTTAAGGGTCTTGGATGGGTACAAATGTGTAGGCAGTTCAGAAAGTAGGGATGGCAGTGAGAGGCAGGCGTGGGGACAGTGTGCCAAGCAGCATGAGCAGAAACAGCAAAGGCAAGTCATTCTAAGTGGCTAAGCCTGATTTAGAGACAATTGGGAGTGAGGTGTGGATACTGAGAAGGGCCTGGGAGTTGGAACAGGTTGTTAGAAGTAAGGTGACCAGACGTCCCGCTTTTTTTTTTTTTTAAATATATTTTATTGATTTTGTACAGAGAGGAAGGGAGAGAGAGAGTTAGAAACATCGATGAGAGAGAGTTGCCGATCAGCTGCCTCTTGCACACCCCCTACTGGGGATATGCCCGCAACCAAGGTACATGCCCTTGACCGGAATCGAACCCTGGACCTCTCAGTCTGCAGGCCTATCCTCTATCCACTGAGCCAAACCGGTTTCAGCAGACGTCTCACTTTTGGCGGGACATTCACGATTTTTAACAATTTGTCCCGCGTCCCCGCGGCGTTTTAAAAACATTTTTAAAGTCCCGATTTTTAAAAATTGGGACTGTCCCGCCAAAAGCGGGACGACTGGTCACCTTAGTAAGAAGGAACTCAGCCTTGGAGGGGGAGCCTTGGATGCCAGGTTAAGGAGTTTGACATTTGTCCATTGAGCAGTGGGGAGCAGTCTTGAGACTTTTAAGCAAGGGAGAAATGTGGTCTTTTATGTGTTTGATGTTGGTTACAGTGTGGCAAATGGTTTGGAAGTCTGAGCTAAGGCCAGAGAGATTGAGCTCCCACGAAGCTGTGAGATGATGAAGCAGTGGCTGAGGGATGGAGAGAAGGGGACAGATTAAAGAGATACTAGGAGAGAGTACTATGACTATAAATCAGTGGTCCCACCAAGGGGCCAGGATGCTTTATTTAAGAGGTTATTCTACTTCTTAAATAAAGCATTTACATTCTCTGTCTACAGTAGGACAGACTGAGCCCTCCCATCATGTTAGGGGGAGGGAAGGGATAGTAGTCTGGTTATTTCAGCAGTGTTTCCATGGTGTCTTTCCTTGATCTCCTTTCATACCTGAGGAAGAGTATGAAGCAGCAGTTACTATATTAGGCCCCAGGTGGCAGGACAAGCCTGCTGTGTTAACCAGGAACAAAGAAAGCTATTTCAGTTCAGCATAAAAATAAAAATCATGACCCAGGATTTTCTATGCAGGTCCCCCTCCTCCAAGATGGGTATCAAATGATATATCATGTGTCTATTGGTGAGATTTGGAGAGGATGCCAGACCTTAAAAGCCTTTTGGTTGAGTCCCCTCACATTGTAAGGTGCTTTTATTCCCATTTTATAGATGTGGCCGCTGAGCCTCAGAAGTTATGTGACTTATTCACCCACCAGCACCCAGTTTGTGGTAGAACTGGGAGTGAGGGGCTCTTGGCCAAGGGTCTACCCAGCGAGATTTTGCCCTTCCTGCTCCCTCTGCCCAGATGCTTTGCTCCCAAATCTTCCTAGGACTGGCTTCTACTTGTTATTCAGATGTTTCTTCTTCAACCCATCTGTCTGTAGCACATTATCCTATGTATTTTCTTAATAGCCCCTATTAGTGTCTGAAATTAATAATTTTATGTATCTGGTCTTTCCCTGCATTAAAATGTGAGCTCCATGAAATTGGGGACAATACCTGTCTTGTCCACCACTTAACTAGTACACCCAACACCTGTAATGGTGCCTGCCACAGAGTAGATGCTCAGTACTTCTTGAATGATGGAAATCAGCTGGGGAAGGAGAAAGAAAAGGAAACCAACATTGAATGAAAGCTGAGAATGCTTCGGGTGCTTCTCATAAACTACCTCATTTAATATCACAGTCTTTCAAGATGGGTACAGAAAGTCCTCAACTTCATTTTGTTCAACATTGTTTCTTTAGAATTATAGGAACTTAACTCCTGTTTATACCAATTAGCCTATGATAAAATTGGTTTTGTTATCCATTGTTCTGCTTAGAGTAGCACAATCTTATCAACGACATTAAGTGAGGACTTATTATACTGTATCTCCATAGGCTGGATAAGAAGGTATGCTAAGTTAGGTGGTTTATTAATTTTGTGGCCATAGACATTTTTTAAGAATCTCCATTAGACAAACTTTTTGCACACCATGAAGAAGTATTCACAGACCTCCTAGGCGAGTGGTCAGCAAACCGTGGCTCACGAGCCACAGGCGGCTCTTTGGCCCCTTGAGTGTTCTAACGCCACTTCTTCAAAATAGACTTGCCCAGGCTGAAAACTGACTTCTGCACATGGGCCACAAAGTTTCAATCGCACTGTATATGCGTGCTCGCATGTAGTAATTTGTGGAAGAGCCACACTCAAGGGGCCAAAGAGCCAGCATGTGGCTCGCGAGCCGCGG